TAGGGGAAAAGCTTTCAGTCTTTTACCATTAAGTATGATGTTACTGTGTTTTTTTGTAGCAGCCCTTCATTAGGTTGAGGAAATTCCTTTCCATTTCTAGTTCCTTTGTATTTCCAGTTAATCATGAAAGGATAATGAATTTTGTCAAATGTTCTTTCTACATCTAATAAAATGATTATGTGGATTTTTCTATTTAATTTATATATATTAATATAATTAATTATTTAACATTAATTTTTGTAAGTTGAAGCAACTGTGCATTCCTGGTAGAAATCCCACTTGCTTATGGTGTATAATTTTTTTTACATTATTTCTTAAGGTCACAGAGCTTACTTTTACTTCTCCATATCATCCAAGGCACTCAAGCCATACTACAATTGGATCAAGAACTAGTGCCCAAGACATGTAACCATCATTATTATTGCTATCCTCATAAATGAGAGCACAAGGTGATGACATTCTGAACTAGAATGACAAGTCCAAATGAGAAACCTCATTTTAAGGAGTAAGATAAAAGTTGGAGATAAGGCCATATGGGATTATTACTTTTCTCAATGTTGTTGAATAATCCCCACATTCCTGGAATATGCCTTGCTTGATTGTGATACTCCACTCTTCATTTTTATTTTTTATGTTTCTTAAGCATAGCCTGACAACTACACTTTTTTAAAAAAAATGTTTTATTTTTTAAAACAGGAAAAATATACATATATATACACACATACATATATATACACACATACATATACATATATATTTATCTAAAGTATTTGGCTTAATGAATTCTTAAAAATAAAACACTAGTGTAACTAGTACACAGGTCAAGAAGCAGAACATTATCAGCCCCTCATAAGGCCACTATCATGCCCCCTCTCAGTCATTACCCTTCACTATCCAACAGGAATAACCACTATCCTAACTCCCAACACTGCTGGTTAGTTTAACCCGCTTTTAAAACTTTGTGTAAAGGAATAATCAGGCTCATTTCACACAACACTGTATTTGTGAGAATCATCATGTTGCATGCAGCTGTTGGTTGGTTGTTCTCGCTGGTGGATAATAGCCCATTATATGAATGTACTGCATTTATCAATTTATTCTGATGTTATTAGGGGATTGAGTCACTGTATTTTAGAAATATTTTGTATTTTAGAAATACAGCCTGGCACTGTGGCTCATGCTTGTAATCCCAGCACTTTGGGAGGCTGAGGTGGGCAGATCACCTGAGGTCAGGAGTTCGAGACCAGCCTACCAACATGGCAAAACCCGTCTCTATTAAAAATACAAAGATTAGCTGGATGTGGTGGTGCATATCTGTAATCCCAGCTACTCAGGAGGCTGAGGCAGGAGAATCGCTTGAACCTGGGAGGCAGAGGTTGCAGTGAGTCAAGATTGCGCCACTGCACTCCAGCCTGGGTGACAATAGTGAAACTTCATCTCAAAAAAAAAAAAAAAAAAAAAGAAGAAAAAAGAAATATTATGCATAGTCAGTGCTCCTGTGAATATTTTGTACATGTCTCTTGGTGAATATATCTCCCTTTTCTGTTGGGTGTGTGCCCAGGATGGAATTGCCATCCTAGAGATCCTTTAAGATAGAGGAAGAAATAGAAATTTTTTTCTATTCATTACAGTAGAGACAACTGCATTTTTAAAATAATGACTTCGATTTTCCATGAGCTTTTAAATATCATAGTGTTATTTTTCTCATTCCAGGAACATGTAATAAGTTTTTAAGTAAAGTATTAGCATATAATACAATGCTTTATTCTGGAATTGTCTATAGCTACACTGTCTGATACAGTAGCCACTAGCCATAGAAGGCTATTGAACACCTGAAATGTTGGGTAAATGTAAAATACAAAATAGACTTACAATATTTAGTATGAAATAAAGAATGTACAATATCTTATTAATAATTTCAAAGTATCCATTACAGGTTGAAATGATAATATTTTGGATATACTGGGTGAAATAAAATATATTAAAATAAATCTCATCTTTTTTAAAAAAATGTGGCTACTAGAAATTTTAAATTGCATGTGTTGTTCACAATTTTATTTCCTTTGGACAGTGCTGGTCCATACTATGAAATTAAATACATGGATAAGGATTGTCTTAATATTTCAAATGTACATTACTTTCAGTTCTGTTTGACAAAGAACAGGTCATGGACTACTTTGGACCATTTAGTATTGGCACTTTGTGGCTGGCACTTTTGTGGCTGGCACTTTGTGGCTGGCACTTTTATTTAAAATATATTAAATACTCTTTAATTTGATAAATTTTATTTTCTTTGTAGGTTAAACTTCCACATTGTTTACATTGTACATGATGATATTCCTGAAGGAATAAGGAAAGATAACAAAAGTCCATTTGGAAATTGAAGGAGTAGGATTGGATATGAAAAATATTAGCTAAAATTTTTAAATATTTCTTTTATCAAAACGGCTTTCTTTTTTCATTTTTTTTTTCTTTTCTTTTCTTTTCTTTTTTTTTTTTTGAGATGCAGTCTCACTCTGTTGCCCAAGCTGGAGTGCAGTCGCACGATTTTGGGTCACTGCAACCTTCGCCTCCCGGCTTCTAGTGATTCTCCTCCCTCAGCCTCCAGAGTAGTTGGGATTACAAGCACATGCCACCATACTCAGCTAATTTTTGTATTTTTAGTAGAGATGGGGGTTTCACGATGTTGGGCAGGCTGGTCTCGAACTCCTGACCTCAGGTGATCCGCCCACCTTGGCCTCCCAAAGTGTTGGGATTACAGGCATGAGCCACCGCGCCCAGCCGACAAAACAACTTTCTTACATTGTAATTCCTTATAGATTAACGTAAAGTTTGTGTTATACTTAGTTTAGCATATGTGTAAACCAAGTATTTTTTTGGGTGAGTTTATTTTTATACTAACAAGGATGTTTACTTCTTTAGGGAAAGTAATCTATTTCTTTTTCTTTGGTTGGCAATTAGCACAATCCTAATTGCTTAATCATAACGTAAGAGGTACACTCCAGACTCATTATTCCTTTCATTGGATATTATCTGACTGATGAATTGTGATCCCTGTCACAGGCCAAAGTAGCAAGGTCCTGTTTGGATAATTGCTAAATATATTTTTCTTGAATTATAATTTTTTGCCTTATGTCAACTGTGAAAGATATAAACTATAACTTCTTGGCTTTCTTTTGGTGAGAAAAAAATAGGCCTCAATCCTTTTGGTAACAATATAAAACAAGTAAAAGAAAAAAATAGGTCTTAAAAGATCTAGGAGTCACCTTAAACTTTATCTGCCATGAGACACTTAGAAGAGTCAGACCTTTGTTGAAGATTACAGAACAGAGACTCATTCAGTCACACCCAAGAGACAGGTGTTCACTGTAAAGACTAGAATGAAGCATGGGAAGTGGATGGATCCAGTGCAGCCCCAGGGAACTGGACACTCACATGCCCCTGGGAAGCAGGTCTTCGTTGCTCTTCTTCCATCACTTGGTCTCAGCTTGCCTTTGACTGGTTTCTACCACTTGTGCCTCCACCCAACCTGCTGCTACATTCTCCTGGTTTCTGCTTACTTAAATGTTTTGCATCCCGAAGCCCATTTTGGCCCCTTCTGCCTTACCCTCTCTTAGTTCCAACCTTTCTATTACATCAGATAGCTCCGTCTCTGCATTCTCCACTTTCCATTTCCAAGGGAGAGTCTGATCTGCTTACTAATTATCAGAGTCCGTGTTTGATGAGAACTGTTTGTTCCAGGCCACCTCACAGGATGATGAATACCTCATGGATTGTGCGCTCCTGGGTCACGTGATCCCTCTTGATTTCAACTAGCTGGGCTGGGCGTGGGGAGGAGTAAGGAACGTTTTTTGTAGTTATTTGTGCAAACCCTGCTCTAGAAATAGTTTGGGTAACTGTTTCCTTTCCAAAGGGACTCTGGGTAGGGTAAGCATCTCTCTCTCACACACGCATATATTAAAATAACAGTGACTAAAACAAAGGGAGTCTGAATAAATTGAATTATGAAGTTAAATGTAGGAAATAATGAATGAACAAGGGAAGAAACCGATACTGATCCAGAGTCAACAACTACCTATGTCCAAGTCAAATTTCTTTGCAGTCTAACAAATTGGCTTTCAAGATTGCATTTTGTTTTGCGAATTAAGCCATTTTCAAGTCACGAGTCGTAGTTTTCTGGAGGCCCCCGGCGTCCGGAACCCATGAATGCCACATTCTTTCTAGCTGCCTTCAGCAATTCGGGGGCGCTTTGTTTCTTACGTTGGGAGAGAAATTCTGCAGGAAATCGACGCCCAGGATCAGCTGCAGATCCTGGGATCCTTGGCTCTGAGTAGCACGGTGGAAAAGTGGGGTAATCGAGGCTCCGGACCCGTTTTCCTAGGAGCCCAGGGCGCTCCACCTGTCTGGAGTCAGCTCCTTTCTTGGACGTCTCCTCCCCTGAGTTTCCTCCTCATAGGCTTGTCCCTGGGAGTGTGGGCGGCCCCTTTCTTGAGCGCAGAAACACTTACTTTTCCCCCTACCCTGCTCCTCCTCCTCCACAGCCGTCTTTCTCTTTGCCTCAGCCACTTCCTTTCTTGGCCTCACCCTCCCCAGTGCACTGAAGAAGGTAACCGGGTCCGGACCCACGCGGCGCCAGTTCTCCCGCGGGAAGGAAAACCCGGCAGAGAGGTACGTGAGCGCCCGGGCAGATGTGGCTTAGGTAGCAGGGATGGACCGGGTGTCCGGGGTGCGCCGCCGGGCACTGCGGGCTGCGGTGAGAGTCGGGTCGGGAGGGGGTCGGGAGGGGGCCAGGAAGGGGCCCAGGGCGCGCGGAGGCTGCGACCGGCTGGGCTGAGACCTCGAGGGCTGAGGTCCCGGGGGGCGCGCGCCGCTCACGCCCCCACCTCTAGGGCCGACTTCCGCACTCGGCTCACGTGACGTTTCGCCGGCCGGGGGCGGACTGGGAAGCCGGCAGAAATGGAACGATTTTTACCGCGGTGCGACGTGTCGGCTTTGCACTTGGTGGTGGTTCAGGAGCCAGTTCTGCAGAGCTGGGTGGGGAAGGGCTGGGGGCAAGGGGAGAGACTGCCCCAAGGAACGTGGTGGCCTCAGGGCAGTGGACTCTGCAGCGCCGGAGGTGGGTGCGGCTCTGTGCGCTCCAGGTCAGGGGGTGCAGAGTCGTGAGGGGACACCAGGGGCTCTTGGAGCCCGGGGCAGGGTCCGTTTTCCTCTCCCGGTTTGGGCGCTGGCTCTTTCGGCGCTTCGGGATGCCGGGGCCACTGGGGAGACGGACCCGGGGCGCCGCGCCGGGAGCTGCGGAGACAAAGGCTTCCGGGACGCGGCCCTTCCCTGGCGCCAGCGGTGCCGCCCCGCAACTGGGGGCCCAGCCCAGCGCTCCCCAGCCCTGCACCGGTGCCGGCGCTGACCGTGTGATGATGGGCTGCAGGGCACGGGGTTAAGGGACCTCTACCAGGCAGAACCCCAAACTGGGAGCAGGATGGCCAAATATGGAGTGAGCGCGCCCCAGACCGGAGGGAGGAAGGAGCCCAGTCATCCTTTGACCCGCACCAGCTGCTTGTCCGCGATTACGAAGGAGGGCTGAGAAAACGTGCCCAGCCCGAGTGTGTAAAGTTGGTTCCTGGTTCCAGACATACCTATTCCAGTAGGTTATATTTCCTTGGATATTAGAAAATCTCCATGCATTGCCTCCAAACTTTTGAAAAATAACAATGCCCTGAGGGTCTTGAAATATATTCTAAAGTGTGTATTGATGGTGGGTTTCGGGTTCTGCCCAGTCCACCGACTTTACGCTTCCTTTGTGTTTCCCACGCACAAAGCCTAAATCGATTCTGCGACAATTAGAGTGCCTGGCCGGCATCTGCCTCGCCTTCCCTGGAGCATTTTCCTGTCTTCTGGTCCAGCCGCTCACCATTAAGCTCTTCCCCTTAGACTTGCTCTGCTTCTCACCTCTCCTTATTGTTCTTTTTTTTTTTTTCCCCTTAGAGATAGTTTCACGGTACTCGTGAGAATGTGTTACGTTCATATAACCAAATCAGGGTAATTGGGATATCCATCACCTTAAATGTTTATCTCTTTATGCTAGGAACATTCAACTTATTTGCTTTTAGCCATTTGGAAGTGTACAATCCATTAATGTGAACTATGGTCACCCCACTGATCAATGCAACATCGGGTCTTATTTCTTCTGTGTATTTATATCCATCAACCTCTCTTCATCCCTCCACCCCCTTCATTGTTCTGCATCTTGCTCACTGCAGTCCTGGGATTCTGTCCTTATTATAAAAGGCCATGGGTCTTTCAAGGATTGTGTCACAATAGGTATTTTTCCCCCTTTGTCCCTCTCCTTCCTAAATAATAAATAAATAAAACATGTCAAGTTAAGTATGCTAGCAATTGTTTCTAAACCTGTTATTTTCCTATTTATAGTGGTCTGGGCAGGGAGCCTTTCTTGCTTTGTAAGTATTCTGCCTTGGTAAGAGCTCAGCATGTCACATTTCGTGTAAATCCCACTCACTCTTATATTTAGTGTATTTGCATAATGGCAAAAGAGGAAGAGGAAGGGGGAAAGAAGAGCCACCACCGTGTGGTAGAAACAGCATTTAGTTGTGGGGCATTAACCCCTGTTTCGTTATCCTTCAAATGGGGATAAATAAATGCCTTGTAAGGTTCTTAGAACTACATGAATTAACGCAGATAAGGAGCCTGATGTGTAATTAAGTATAAAGAAACGCTGGTTACCTTCCATGCTTAAAACTGGATGAACGTACATTTGCTTAATATAATGCAGGTATGCATGCTATATATAATAGATGGATTTCCCCTTTGATTCTCATTATTCAATGAGAGCTAAGTCTGAAGTGTGTTGCTGGTGTTGGGAGGAAGGAGTGAAGAAGGGTGTTAAAGAGATAACATCTTTCTAGGGGGTCGAGAATCAGAGAATTGGGGAGTTCCTTAATTTCTTTGGACATTTTTATTCTCCCTCTGTCCAGTACAGGCTAATTTCCTCATCATCCCTCACAGATCCTTACTATGTCTGCATTAATGTTTCTAGGAACAGGGTGCAAACTTTATTCATTGTTGGGCAATTTTAATTGCTAGAGAACTTTTTTATATGGCTCTCAAATCTGCCTTTCTATTACACTTATCCATCCTACCCAGTAGAGGAACACAAAGTCTATTCATAAAGTACATAAAAAAGAGCTTTAGTTTTTTTTGTTTTGTTTTTAAAGCAGCAGTTCTTCTCTAAGCTAACTTTATGGGTCAAGATTCTTTAGAGTGCAAGTAATAGAAACTCAGTCAAACCAACACAAGCAAAAAGAGGAAAGATACTGGTTCACGTAGTTGGAAAGTCCAGGGTCTTATATAGGCTCAGTCATTGTTGTATGGCTGGACATTTCTTTGTGTTAGCTTTATTCCTGGCCAGCGGTTCTCACATGGTGGCCATTGACATCAGGGACTATAAACTAATATCTTAGAACCAAGTGGAAGGAGAGTGTCGTTTTACTAATAGTTCTAGCAAAATCACAGGGCTGAACCTAATTGTTCTGGATGGGCTCAGCTACCTCATGCCTCAAACCAATTATTCTGGCTCTGACCTGCTTCTGGAGCCCAGGGTAAGGCTCTACCCAGGATACATGGGTTTAGCATAAGGAGGGAAAGGCTTTATCCAAACAAAACTTAGACTGCCGGTGCCAGAATGGGAAATGGGTGCTGGGTAGACAAAACAACAGTTGCCCACCACACTGCTACTAATAGTTTTTTCTTACTTTTATTCTCATGGCATGGTGTTCAGGCTTAGTGGCTGTGTACTCTGTGTATATTTTAGCTTTTTAGTATCGCTCTTAAACTATGTCTTGAATTGCATATAATGTTATAGATATGACTTCACCAACACAAAGTCCCCAATGTTTGAACACTATAAGTTTTCATATTAAGTTTTATGAAGATGCATTTAATTGAATATTTCACGTTTTATTACAATCTAAGCTTCTTAAATTATAATATTCACACAAGCAACAGAGCAGATGGTAGTGGCACTTTTAATAATTAGCAGATAGAAAATCTAGTGTCCCAATCAACATCATGTAAGCAGGTAGTATATAGTCATAGGTGTCACTCTTGTTTTTAACAGCTAGCAAGAATTAGTTACACTCCATATGGATAAAGTTGTTTCTTGCAAATTATCACCCCGAAGGAAACCATACACACAACTCCACTGTTTTGGTCCCTTATTTGATTTGAAAAAATTATGATTTGAAAACAGACTGAACTGATGCATCTTCTACCCAGTTGCTCATACTTCCTGACATCCTGCAGGTGTACTTCCAATCCCTCTCATGCCTTTGCGTGTTCTTTTCAGTTCATGAGGTCAATATTTCTTTACCCTCTACTCTTAGTGCCAGACATGATACAGCAGTGAGCATTATAGTCAGATCCCTGCAGAGGGGAGCTTACCCTGTGCTAGTGAAAGTCCAGAAATGTAATTCCAATTGGGTGAAATGAGGGGCACGGTGCTATGGGAACACAGTGAGGGAGTACTGCTTCTCCAGGGTTTCAGGGAAGGCTTTTATTTAAGCTGGAGCAGGATGTGTGTGAATTAGCCCCTGGAAAGAGGAATAGCTATAGTCTGAATTGAAGCCATAGTATGTGTGAAGGCTGGAGGTGAGAGAGCAAGGGGCATTTGAGAGATTAAAAAGTCCCGTGTGGCTACAGCCTAGAGTTCAAGGGGGTGGAAGAGGCTAGAACAGTGTGCAGAACCCAGCTGTTGGAGGACTTAGTGAGCCAAGGAAAGGCTCAGCTTCTGTTTTATTCTGAACTCCTTATCTGCAGATGAATGATCTTCACCACAAGCTATTTACTGCAATCGGATTTACTGGGCATTGCCCAGAGAAAGCCATGATGTCCCTGTATGTCACTGGATTGACAGGATGGTATTAAAATTGCTGTTGTATTGATCTGCCTCCCCCACTAGACTGGCTGCTGAAGGGCAGGGAGTGTGTGTCAGTTTATTGTGGGGTGTCCAGCCCCTAGCTTAGGCCTGCCTCAAGTGTGCTATGCGTTTTCTCCTTTGTTGCCTTGCTTTACGTATGCATTTCCTCCTGTATAGAGTGCCCTACCCTACCTGTCCGGCTGGACCACTCCTCCCCAGTGACCTCCAGAAAGCCTCCTGCCGTTTACTCCTTTGTGCTTCCAGATGCCTTGGACCCACCACTCAAAGAGTATTTGTCACATTGCTCTTCATTGCAGGCCTTCATTTGCCTTTAGAATGTGAGATCCCTGAGGGCAGATCCTGTGCTACACACCTTTTGTATTTTCGGTGCCTAGCAGGGTACCCTGAAGAAGACCTACTCAGAGTGAATCATGGGTGCAAGGAGAATGACTGTATTCACCCCCACGGATGTGGAGAATAGGAGTGCAGGCAGCTAAGGGGGCGGTTACAAAGGTAGAGGGAAAATGGGGACACTTCAGTGCCACATGCATCACACAAATATTTTTAGGAAAAGGGACATGGTAAATTAATAGTGACAAATGCGACATGAAAAAGACAAAGGGCCCTTGGATTTGGATGTGCTTAATGGAATGTAATGGTGATAATTTAGACTTCCTTTTTCCCTCCCAGGCAGCAATGAATGTGGATCATGAGGTTAACCTCTTAGTGGAGGAAATTCATCGTTTGGGTTCAAAAAGTAAGTATGTAACAGAGATAGAGTATTTTTCGTGGCTTTACGTTGAACAGGCGAGACTGGCATGCTGGAGAAGCCTAGAAGGGGTCACCCAGGGGTTCAGGACAGAGGTATGGCAGCTCTGCCCACAGCCCCAGGTGGTAACTGCCCTTAGCCAGAAAGTGACATCTGGAGACACAGGGCTTTTGGGGTATTGTGATTCTGATGCAGAGAATGGTTGAGATATTTCATTATTTTTTCAATAGAAAGCAAATTACCAAGCTTCTTTCATCTGACTACATTAAAATTTGGTAATTGAATCATGTTCAAATTTTTACTTATCATACTATTAAAATTCATGTTTTCTGCTTTGTTCTGCTATCATTTTACAAACTTCTTTTTTTAAATCATCTTATCTAAAATGTCATCATTTTACAAACTTGTAAATGACTAGGGACTTACATTGAAATTATACTAAATTATACTAAATTGTCTTTATTTTCTCCAAATCTCAAATCTTGAGTTTTGTATAATCAGGTATTAAGTAAGATAACTAAAATAAATCACCCTTTAGGTAGTGTTTAAGAAAAATTATCTTTTTCTTCAGCAATAACTAGGCAGCTTCCTTGAAGATAGTGACATGCAAAATGGGTAGTATTCGCGTCTTCTTCCTAAGTCATAATGAAAATTACTATTATACTTGTGGCTTTAGGTATTTGGTACATCTCAGATGAGACATGCAAGAATTTGGGGAGCATTTTGAAAATAATGAGAATAATAGACGTATTCAGCAACAACTAGGATAATAGGACTGGAAGTTTTAAAATTACATCATGTAAGTGAAAACCCGTCCTAGAAAGTCCCTCAGAAGCTCTCAAGGTTTGTGTCATTATAGTTTGATTCTTCTTAAAGCACTGTCTGTTCATGAATCACAAATCCTTTGAAATAACAGGACAGACTTGGAAAATTCCATTAAGCCATTAATATCAAATGTCCCCTGCAATGGTTTTCTGTTCCTGCTATAACAGATTGCCACAAATTTAGTGATGTAAACTTCTGTAGGTCAGGAGTTTGACAAGGGTCTTGCTAGAGTAAGATTAAGGTGTTGGCAGGGGACTCCTTTCTATAGGTTCCAGGAGGGAATCAGTTTCCTTGCCTTTTCCAGCTTCTAGAGGTGGCCTTGGCTCATGGTCCCCTTTCTCTGTCCTAAAGCGAGCAAGAGCTGATTGAGTCCACGCATTGCATTACATCGACCTCCTCCACTTTTTTTTTTTAAGTTTGTTTATTTGTTTGAGACAGAATCTTACTCTGTTGCTTAGGCTGGAGTGCAGTGGTGCAATCTCGGTTCACTGTAACCTCCGGCCTCCCGGGTTCAAGTGATTCTCCTGCCTCAGCCTCCCGAGTAGCTGGAATTATAGGCACCTGCCATCATGCTCAGCTAATTTTTGTAGTTTTAGTAGAGATGGGGTTTCACCATGTTGGCCAGGCTGGTCTTGAACTCCTGACCTCAGGTGATCCATCCACCTCGGCCTCCCAAAATGCTTGATTACAGGTGTGAGCCACCACACCCGGCCTAGTTTCTTGTATTTTTATTAGGGATGGGGTTTCACTGGCCGGCCGCAGTGGCTCACGCTTGTTATCCCAGCACTTTGGGAAGCCGAGGCAGTTGGATCACGAGGTCAAGAGTTCGAGGCCAGCCTGGCCAACATGGTGAAACCCTGTCTCTACTAAAGATTAAAAAAAAAAAAAAAAAAAAAAATTAGCCGGGCGTGGTGGCATGTGCCTATAATCCCAGCTACTAGGGAGGTTGAGGCAGGAGAAGCTCTTGAACCCGGGAGGCGGAGGTTGTGCCAAGATTGCGCCACTGCACTCCAGTCTGGGCAGTGGGGCAAGACTCCATCTCACAAAACAAACAAACAAACAAACAAGCAAACAAACAAACATAAAAGAGATGGGGTTTCACCATGTTGGCCAGGCTGGTCTTGAACTCCTGGCCTTAAGTGATCCACCTGCCTCGGCCTCCCAAAGTGCTGGGATTACAGGTGTGAGCCACCATGCACGGCCTGCCTCCCTCTTCTGTTTTAAGGACTTTTTGGATTACACTGGGCTCACCCAGGTAATCCAGGATTCCTCCTTGTCGTGGGGTCCTTAATTGAAATTGCATCTGAAAAGTCCCTTTTGCCATGTGAGGTAACATACAGATTCTAGGGATTGGACATGCATATCTTCTGGGGCCTTTATTCTTCCTATTACTCCCTCTTTTTTTGTCTTAGTCACTCTATTTCTATATCAAACCCAAGTCATCATTACTGAAATGTACCAAGAAAAGATAAATGAGGCATATTAAAGTTGGTGTGGACTCTTATGTCCTAAGGTAGTCAACAACTAAGTGAGTTGAATCATATGATCAGTTAATACTTATTGAGTATCTATATGTGCTAATAACTGTGTAGTACAAGTGGTATAAAGTGTGTTCCTTTTCCTCAGGGATTTTACTACTTAGTTGATGAAAACAAATAAAATCTCATAGTCCAGCTGCCATGGCTCAGGCCTGTAATCCTAGCACATCAGGAGGCCAACGTGGGAGGATCATGTAAGCCCAGGAATTCAAGACCAGCCTGGGCAACAAAGTAGGATCCCATCTCTACAAAAAAATTGAAAAATTTAAATTAGCCAGGCATGGTGGCATACAACTGTGGTCTCAGCTGTACTGGAGGCTGAGGCAGGAGGATTGCATGAGCTCAGGACGTTGAGGCTGCAGTAAGCTGTGTTGAAGCCATTGCACTCCATCCTATGGGACAGAGTGAGACCCTATCTCAAAACAAAAAGAAAAACAATAAAAAACTCATGAGGCAATTGTCAGAAAAAAAAAATGGTATGCTGAACTATGAAGTGCTGACATGCAATATGGTCCCTTCAAAATAGATTATTGGAAGTTGTAGTAGTTGGGGGCACTCAGTGAAGTCTTGCATCTCAGGTAGGACTTTGAAGTATAGGGCAGGTCAGTTTAGGGGGAAATCCATGAGTTGGTTTTGGAATGGGAATGAATGTATTGTTTGAAGAGAACACTGAGAAGACATTGGAAAATGTAATTTATTTAGTTTCTTTTTTGAGACGGAGTCTCGCTCTGTCGCCTGGGCTGGAGTGCAGTGGCACCATCTTGGCTCACTGCAACCTCTTGTCTCCTAGGTTCAGGCGATTCTTGTGCCTCAGCCTCCCTGGTAGCTGGTATTACAGGTGTCCATCACCACGCCTGGTTAAGTTTTGTATTTTCAGTAGAGATGGGGTTTTGCCATGTTGGCCGGGCTGGTCTCAAACTTCTGGCCTCAAGTGGTCCGTCTGCCTCAGCCTCCCAAGGTATTGGGATTACAGGCATGAGCCACTTGGTCTGGCCATGATGTATTTAGTTTCCTAATCAAAGAAATCAACAATCTTCCCTAACTCAATTTTTCTCCCACCCATTTCACCACACCCACTTGATGGAGGCCTGATGAGTCTTATTTTCCACAGTATTGCCCCTCCTGTTCTTCCTCCCACACTCCTGTTTTTTTCCTGAGCTCAGTGAGGTCATCTTACTCTTGGCAGCATTATTATTGTTTTTTTCTTTTTTTTTTTTTTTTTTTTTTTGAGACGGAGTCTCACGCTGTTGCCCAGGCTGGAGTGCAGTGGCGCGATCTTGGCTCACTGCAAGCTCCGCCTCCCGGGTTCACGCCATTCTCCTGCCTCAGCCTCCTGAGTAGCTAGGACTACAGGCGCCCACCACCGCGCCCAGCTAATTTTTTTTTTTTTTTTGTATTTTTAGTAGAGACGGGGTTTCACTGTGGTCTCGATCTCCTGACCTTGTGATCCGCCCGCCTCGGCCTCCCAAAGTGCTGGGATTACAGGCTTGAGCCACCGCGCCCGTCCTCTTTTCTTTTTTTTTTTTTCTGAGACAGAGTCTTGCTTTGTCACCCAGACTGGAGTGCAATGGTGTGATCTTGGCTCACTGCAACCTCTGCCTCCTGGGTTCAAACAATTCTCCTGCCTCAGCCTCTTGAGTAGCTGGGATTACAGGCATCTGCCACCACTCCTGGCTAATTTTTGTATTTTTACTAGAGACAGTATTTCGCCATGTCGGCCAGACTGGTCTCGAACTCCTGGCCTCGTGTGATCCACCCGCCTCAGCCTTCCAAAGTGCTGGGATTGTAAACGTGAGCCACTGGGCCCAGCCATGCATTACTGTTGTTTGGATAGTTATAGGTGTTAAAGGCATATTTCTAAAGATTTGTAGGATTTTCTTTTCTGTATCCATGTCAGCCTAGTGTTTATTGGTCATATTCAATTAGTTTTTTCTTTCTTTTTTTTTTTTTTTTCCAAGACGGAGTCTGGAGTGCAGTGGCCGGATCTCAGCTCGCTGCAAGCTCCGCCTCCCGGGTTCACACCATTCTCCTGCCTCAGTCCCCCGAGTAGCTGGGACTATAGGCGCCCGCCACCTCGCCTGGCTAGTTTTTTGTATTTTTTTTTTAGTAGAGACGGGGTTTCACCATGTTAGCCAGGATGGTCTCAATCTCCTGACCTCGTGATCCGCCCGTCTCGGCCTCCCAAAGTGCTGGAATTACAGGCTTGAGCCACCGCGCCCGGCCCATATTCAATTAGTTTTTAAATTCTAACCTTTACAGTACTAGTCATTATTCTGGTAAGGCAAACTGAAATTCCACTTCAAAATTAGCAGCTTTCACGTTAGAAGACTTAAGATAATTATCATAACTTCTGTAAGCATGGAAATACTTTTAATTTTGCAGCTTCATCAGGATACCTTGACTTTCTCATCCCTGGCAAAAGATGACTTATTGAGTTTGAAAGCATATGTAGATATGTGTAATCTTTGAATGTGTTATGGTTAATTATTTAAGTTGTATCTGGAATGATTTTGCTTTAGTCTACATATTATGAGCTCAAGATGAAAACTGATGAATTTAGTTTTATCTTTTCATTCAAAGTCAAATTCTTTAAAGTCTCATTTTTCATATAGTGAAAAAGATTAAATGGGGAGAGAGCACTTGGATATTTAAATTCTTCCATTCAACAAATATTTTTTTTAGTGTCCCCTTTGTGCTCAAGTGCTGGCGATGTAAAAATAAACAAAATTCCATCTCCATCTTTGAGGTTCTCTTTAGGTAGCTGAAAGACAGGCAAACTAGAAGTACCTAGAGGGAAGTAATTAATATGCGCTGTAAGTTGGACTCTGTGGAAATGAATCCCAGCTCCTCTACATACTTGCTCTGTGACCTTGGCTACTTTACTAAACTTTTCTGTGCCTTGTTTTCCTTGTTTGTAAAACAGTAATACTCTACTTCAAGGACACATTTCTTCACATTAAAAGAATCTCTAAAATAGGCCGGGTGCGGTGGCTCACGCCTATAATCCCAGCGCTTTGGGAGGCCAAGGCAGGCAGATTGCCTGAGGTCAGGAGCTCGAGACCAGCTTGGCTAACATGGTGAAACCCTGTCTCTACTAAAAATATGAAAATCAGCTGGGCGTGGTGGCGGGTGCTTGTAATCCCAGCTACTTGGGAGGCTGAGTCAGGAGAATCCCTTGAACCTGGGAGGCAGAGGTTGCAGTGAGCCAAGACCACACCATTGCACTCCAGTCTGGGCAACAAGAAGGAAACTCAAAAGAAAAAAAAAAAAATCTCTCAAATAAAAATGCATCTTATAGTACATGGCATGCTATGGTTAAATTGGCAGTTTAATTGTAATATAAAATAATGATGCTTCTTGCAATCAATTGTGTCTTATCTTCCATAAAATACAGATTAAGTGAATTTTAATGACTGTAAAATGCATCGAACAGTTCCGGATCATAGCAAGTAGTCAATACATGTTAGCTATTAATACTATAAATGATGGTGAACACTTTGATATATATATACTCAGTTTTATAAGAAGAGCTATTCACTCAACTGAAGGGATCATGAAGGACTTCTAGAAAAGGTAGCATTTGAATTCATTCCTGAAGAAAAATAATTTAGCTAGGAAAAAGTTTCTGGGTTTCTGGGCAGATGACTGAACATGGGCACTGTTACAAAGGCAGGATCTGTCATATCATCTTAGGCACAGCAAGCAGGTCATTGTGACTGAATCAGAAGGTACATGCAGTGATATGGCAGAAGGCCAGGCAAGCGATAGATGCAAGGCCAGAGGATGAAGTGCCTCTTCTGCGAGGCCATGGACTTCTCTTTATTTAGAAGGTCATAGGGAGCCATTGAAATATTAAGGTAGGCTTGATGAGGTGGCTCACACCTGTAATCCCAGCACTTTGGGAGGCCAAGGCAGGAGGAATGCTTGAGCCCAGGAGTTCGAGACCTCGTCTCTATTAAAAATAAAAATAAATTAGGTGTGGTGGCGCATGCCTACAGTCCCAGCTACGTGGGAGGCTTGGAAGGCTCAAGAGGATCTCTTGAGTCCAGGAGTTCGAGGTTGCAGTGAGCTATGATCACAGAACTGCCCTCCAGCCTGGGCAACAGATCAACACCCTGTCTCAAAAAAAGAAAAAAGAAAGAAAGAGGGATTAAAGTAGAAGAGTAACAATGAGCTTTGCATCTCATAAAATTTCTTCCACATTGTTTCTTCTGCACCCATGTGGAGGATGTATTGAGGAGCAAAAATGCAGAAAAGGAGGCTGGTATGGAGTTCTCAGCAGCTTGCAGTGACGCAAGTGAGAAACACTTAGGATCTGAACCAAGGAATTAACTGTCATTGGAGAGGAGAGGCAGTAGTCACAGAAGACACAAAGAAGGTGGAATCACCCAAACATTTGTCGGATTGGGGGATGAGGGGGGCATGAGAACTCCAAGATTACACCAAGGTTTCTGTCTTTGGTGCCTTTAAAAATTTTAACCAAAGTTGAGAATTTACTGTATGCTGGGCACTCTAGAAAAGACTTTTTCTTTATTATGTCTGTTAATCCTTGCAACAGCCCTGTGAGAGGTATTTTTACCCTCATTTGATGGATACCTGAAGTTCAGAGAGCTTGGAGGACTTGCCTGAGGTTACCAGCAGCTCCATTTCTATCTGTAGTCAGTGACAGGTTCCTGTTGCACACAGAGTGTCATGCAGGTAGAAGTTGAAAAATCAAAGAGGTGCATCTTTGCTTTCCAGGCCAACCATGGTCAGATTCCCTGTTTTCCCTTTAGAACATCTTTCATCCTCCTTCTCATCTTAGGTGATGTACTTCAGGTGAGTAAACTACTCAACGCTGGTCACTGTTCCCCCAGCCACCTTACTCGTTTTTAGCCTTGCCTGTGGCTTGGCACACTATCCCTATTTGTGTCAGTCACAGCAGAGCCCCTGGTCGCTGATGGTCTGCTCAGTGTGTGCCAGGCAGTGTGCCGAGTGCTTTCGAACTGTGTCTCCTGGCAGCACCGAGAAAAGATGTTCAGGCCCCCATTTTACACAGGAGGAAGCCAAGGCTTAGGGAGCTTTAAACAAGTTGCCCAAGGCCGAACGACTAGTAGGTGGCAGAGATTTCCACTGAGGACTGTTAGGTTTTTGAAAAGCTCAGAGCATATCATCACAATGAAGCTGAAGAAAAAAAAGCTCCAGGTTATTGTCTCCTTTCAAGTCCGGAAGAGGTACTGCCTCCTCCCTGAAGTCTTCCTTACCATTCTTGCCCAAAGACATCTTGCCCTCCTCTAAACTGTAAAATATATTTTCTTTTTTTCTTCTTTTTTTATTGAGACAGAGTCTCACTCTGTTGCCCAGGCTGGAGTGCACTAGCACGGTCATGGCTCACTGCAGCCTCGAACTCCTGGGCTCAAACAGCCGTCTGCTTCAGGCTCCTGAGTAGCTGGGATCACAGGTGCACTCCACCACACCCAGCTATTTTTAGTTTATTTTTTTAGGAGAGAGATGGTCTCAGTATGTTGCTCAGGTTGGTGTCAAACTTCTGGGCTCCAGGTATTCTCCTACCTTGGCTTCCTAAAATGCTGGGATTACAGGCATGAGCCACTGCACTCAGCCGGGATGTATTTTCTTGGCTTCTCATTTGGCATCCAATCACGTACTGCTTTGTATTGTTGCTTTAACTTGTTATGTGTATATTTCTTATTTCTTCATGGGACTCAGAGTCATTGCTTTGAAAGTTCGAAAGCAATTCTCTCCTTCCTTATATCTGTCTCTAGCGTGTAACACAGTGCTGTGCTTACGGTAGGAGTTTGCCAAGCAGCCAGTCAGCAGTTCTCGCCAGGGAGCGTGGGCACTCAAGAACCTTGGGTCAAGAAATGGTCCTCTCCTCACTGTGAGGGCCATCCTCTTGACCGTGGGGGTAGCTTTGGAAGGGAAGAACCTGCAGTAGAGGGCTAGGAAGAGGTCAGGGATTCAGTCAGGTGATCAAAGGAATCACCCAAGGATAGGGAGGCGTCTCCCAGATTACTCTCGTCTCCAGGTTTTCAGGTTATTTATTTTTAACAGCAGATCCACTTTTGGTCTATCTTAACTTTCGATGTCTATGTTCAAAACTGGCCTCCAAATAAGATAATCTAGGGCTCATATGAAATACAGATTTCTGAGTCTACTACCAGGAATTCAGATTCAGTGGTCCTGATAAATGGCTGATGATAATGCATTTTTAAGGAGCCCCCACTCCCACCCTGGGGATTCCGAGTGTTCAGAACACACTTAGAGAAACACTGCTCTTGATCCTGGTTTTCTATTTTATTTGTAGTCTTTATTGATTCAAAAACTCACATAACAATTAACAAATAAAAAGCGGAAAATTTATCTGCAATATTAGCACTGTAGCACATTCAACTTTTGTGAATGTTTCTTGGTTCTCAGTCTTTGGATAATCCTAAGGCTAAGAGGCGTATAACATGTATTTATTCCATTACTTTTTGGATCTGGGAAGAGAATATGTTGAATTTATGACTGTTAAATGTTAAATTGTAATCTTGGATAGCCCATAGTTAGAAATGTATTAAAGATTTTGTAAATCTGCCATACTTGACGGTAAGACACAGACTTTACATTTGCTAACAATGTATTTTCTCAAATTAGATGCTGATGGAAAGTTAAGCGTGAAATTTGGGGTCCTCTTCCGAGACGATAAATGTGCCAACCTCTTTGAAGCATTGGTAGGAACTCTCAAAGCTGCAAAACGAAGGAAGATTGTAACGTATTCAGGAGAGCTGCTTCTGCAAGGTGTTCATGATGATGTTGACATTGTATTACTGCAAGATTAATGTGGTTCACATATCTTTTATGTACCACCATTTTTTGTTTCTGGTAAACTGGAATATAAAGTGAAAGAACAAACATTTGAACATACTTAATGTATTTTTATAGAACTTTGTAAACAAAAGGAGATTAATGTTTTAGAAGTCTGTCCTTTTTTATATCTTGAAAGAAAATTTATGTATGATGCTATAAAATAAACAAATCCTATTATTTTTCTCAGGAATCTGGTTGGGAATTGTAGGCAATGAGGTTTTTTGGGAGGCGGGGACAGGGGAATGTTTGTTTCATAAATAATTAGACATTTTCTATAGATATTTGACATTCTGCGAAAGCAACAAGCAAATTGAAGACCAACTCCTATGAGAAATATTATAATGTTTATGTAATAAAGACATGTAGCTGTCTCAAAATTGCCTTATTTTGTCATTTAAGTATTTGTGTGCTTCTCAGAATTGAGTTTTTGTATCAATATTAGATAACTGCAGTAAAAGTTATGTTAATCTGAAACAAATGCTCAGAACTACCAAATTTCAGTAATAGGAATGGCTGGGCACAGGTGCTCACACCTGTAATCCCAGCACTTTGGGAGGCTGAGGTGGGCAGATCACCTGAGGTCGGGAGTTCGAGACAGCTTGGCCAACATGGTGAAGCCCCGTCTCTACTAAAAATACAAAAATTAGCTGGGTGTGATGGCACATGTCTGTAATACCCACTACTCTGGAGGCTGAGGTATGAGGGTCACCTGAACCCAGGAGGTGGAGGTTGCACTGAGCCGAGATTGCCCCACGGCACTCCAACCTGGGTGACAGAGCGAGACTCAGTCTCACAAAAAAAAAAAAAAAAAAAAAAGGAAAAGAAAAAAGAAATAAGAATGGTTAGTGTTATGGTTGGACCCTATACAAAATACTTATTTTGAGGCTGATTGTGTGCTTATTGCTGAGTTAGGGGACATACCAAAAAATCTGACCTAAAAACTTCACATAAACTTCAAATTCTAGTTGGGTGACACCCATCTGAAACAATATGGGATAATCTCTGATTGCATGTTACAGAATTTAAAATGACTTGGAATACCAAGAAGAGTAAAAGCAGTGAAAGCCACAGTGGCCAGGGGAGAGATCCTGGAGGGGGCAGAGCTTGCATTGAGGAATGATTGCAGCTGATTATCTCGAGGGAAAAAAAGACGGGATGATGAGGGTGATGACTGAAGGAAAGGCAGAAGGACACAAATCAGCAAGGCATGATCTCGTGAAAGGCAAGATATCAGGCCGACCAGAATTCTGGGGAGAGAGGTGGTTCATTGGACCATGAAAGTGGGACCCGGGAAACCAAGAAGAGGAATCTGAACAGAAACTGGAGCAAGGACATTCCATGATGACAGTGATATTTAGTGCAGATGGCCCTGACACTAGTGATTCAGGTGGATTGTAGAGAGTGAAGAAGTGGTCAGACAAGCCAGCTGAAATGTTGCTCAGGATCATCATGGGGATGATGATAACGCAAAGGCAGGGAAGAATGAACTCTAAGCATGTTTTTAAAATCAAAGCCCTCTCATCTGTGCTCTTTCTGCTGTGACAGGACCCCAACTCAAAGTAGATCAAACAATATTAGAATTCACTGGCACTTGATGGTTATTGCTAACTTTTATTGAGCATTTACAATGCTAATTCTCATACAACCCTGTGAGGTAGGTACTAATAGTACCTTCCATTTTATAGATGAGGTAAGTGAGGCACAGAAAAGTCGTCACTTGTCCAAGTTCACCTAGGTAGAAAGTTGTAGAGTCTGAATTTTGAAATTGGACTCATCTAACTGGCAATTCCAGGGATGGCACAGACTTTGAGCATGGCTGGCTCCAGTGACTCAACAAAGTCAAAACTCTCTGTTTTTCCACATTGGCTCTCATGCCTTCTCTGGTTTGAGCTCTTTCTACTCTAAATAGACTCCCTGCGTATAGCTGGGAAGATGCTTCTGGTAGTTGCAAATTCACTTATTCCTAGATTAGTAATTCTAGTAGAGAGAGCATTTATTATAATATCTAATTATGAATTCCAAGAAGGGAATTCTGATTGGTCTCACTGCAGTATAAACCTACCCCTTCGACCAATGACATTTACCAGGGGGATGAAACACCGTGAACTGACAGGCCACAGGTCACATGCTGGTTTCTCAGTGGGGATGGGGTGAGTTACTGTGCTTGACAACCTCATTTCAAATAAGAAAGGGGTAGTTTTCCAAAAGCAATGATGCTGGCTACATGGGAATGATGTAGGTTCGCTGTAGAAATAAGAGACCTTTGGAAGAATGAATCCTTACCATTATGTGGCAGAAAATGAAAAGGTAAATGAGAAGCCATGGTCAAAAGCTACCATCATATATGCCCTCAGTGACTGAGAGAATAATGAACTAATTAACAGAGGTGGGAAAATTGGATGGAGAAGGAGGGCTAGTTTCAGGGAGTTTGATCTGAGCATGGCGAACTTGAGGTAGTTAAAGTAGAAACGTGTAGTACGTAGGTGAGGATTTTCTTCTAGAACCCAGGCTAAGTAAAGGCTTAGGAGTGTAGACAGTGACTTGGGAATTGTGGTTCATGGTTGATTTTCACTTTAATTTTGATTTGTATAGATAATTCTACTTCTGCCTGTCTTAGTAACGTTAAATTGAAATTTTATTTATCAGGCACTTAGAAAATACAAAAGACAAACAATCTACAGGCTTTGCAAAAGTCTAGGCTGAGAAACTGAAGCAACCTTTAGACGGAAGCAATGTAGGAAGCCCAAAGAAGTCTAAGAATTTTATGAGGTGGCTGACCTTGTGTGATCAAAAAGACTCTTAAAAAATCTATAGAAGTTGAAATTGTTACTCAGTCTGTCATGATTTGTTTAATGTCTTCTTGGTGAGCATCAAATGAAGTTTAGTTTCAAGCCCTTGATGATTTAACGTTTAATGAATATCTTCCAGAGAAGGTATATTCATGTGATTGTTCAGTTATTTAAAGAAAACTGACAGAGTATCGTTTCTATCTACCATTGATATCGACAATACAGTTTTATGTTTTTTCCTTTAGATTCAAGATGGTTAGTCCTTTGTATCAACTTCACATATAGATAGTTCTTTTATTTGGATCATGGTGTTAAAATTTAAAATCATAGATTTGATTTTTTTGAGTTATGAATATACTCCTGTGAATTTTGAGCTGTGAATACAGTGAAAATACTCCTTCTTGGCCATAAGTTGCATTCCAGTTAATTATCTCAGTAATAAGTGCCATTGGCTACATTTGGCTGGGAATTAGAGATGATCAACAGTTATACACCAACATTCCTTTATTCACACAATGAAAATATGGAACATCTACTTTGTTCAAGTCACTGTTCTAGGCATTAGGAAAGACTAAAGCAAAGTAAAAATAAACAAAATTCAATTCTAGTCCTCCAAAAACCCCAAGTAGTACTATGCATTATTAATAAATAGTATAAAAGAAGCTTTGGGTAAATGATACAGGGATATGGGTGCAAAGATGAAGAATCGTTCCTGGGGAGACCTGGGGGCTTTCATGGATAAAGTGAAGTTTCCCGGGGCTTTAAAGCAATAGAATAATAGGGTAGGACTTTAGGGGTAGAGTCGCTACTGCATACAAAATCAGAGAAAGGCAAGTAATTTGAGGTATGGAAGGAAAGAGGCGTAACAACAGTTGAGGCTAGAAAGGAAGGTTGGGACATTGATTTTGAACCTTTAGGACAGAAGAAACAATTCTAAGTGTATGTCTTAATAATGGTGAATTACAAAACTGTAAAAAAACTTACATAAAATAATTTGATAAGTACCACTAATTATAAAGAAACTTTAATTTTTAACTTCTGTAACATTGCTATTTTGTGTATTGAGATTACATAACACAATCTATAATTATAGCTTATCATCTTCATAGTGAATGACTGTTCACTGAAAACTGATTAAAGTTACCACGTTTGCATACTTGAATTTTCTTAAGCTCCTATCATAGGAAGTCCAAGCATGCCCTAGTGTCCCGGAGTCACAATTTAAAAATAAGTTACTGGCTGAGTACAGTGGTTCACACTTATCCCAGCACTTTGGGAGGCCAAGGCAGGAGGATCACTTGAGTGCTGGAGTTCCAGACCAGCCTGGGCAACAAAACAAGACACCCATCTCTACAAAAAACTAAAAAAATTAGCTGGGGTGTGGTGGCGTGACCCACTACAGTCTCCACTACTTGGGAGGCTTTCATAGATACCTAGGAATTCAAGGCTGTTGTGAGCCATGACTGTGCCACTGCACGCCAGCCTGAGTGTCAGAGTGAAATTCTGCCTCTAAATAAATAAATAATTAATGGCCAGGTGTGGTGGCTCACGCCTGTAATCCCAGCACTTTGGGAGGCCAAGGCGGGCGGGTCATTAGGTCAAGAAATCAAGACCATCCTAGCCAAAGTGGTGAAACCCCGTTTCTACTAAAAACACAAAAATTAGCTGGGCATGGTGGCGCATGCCTATAGTCCCAGCTACTCAGGAGGCTGAGGCAGGAGAATCACTTGAACCAGGGAGGCAGAGGTTGTCAAGAGCCGAGATCGCGCCACTGCACTCCAGCTTGGCGACAGAGTGAGACTCCATCTCAAAAAAATAAATAAATATAAAAATAAATAAATAATTAAATAAGTTACAGACCAGGTAACTTAATATGCTGATGCAACTGTCTTTTCCTCCCGTCAGCTGATAATTGTCCATATACCATTACAATAGCCGAAATTAGAAAAGAGGAGGAGGGCAAATGATTGAGCAGGGTTGAAAAGGTGGAATGGATTAGATAATTCCCAAACCGGATGAACTGAGGTTTCAACAAATGCCTATTTAACATAATTTAAAGATTACTGACATTGTTATCTCATTTTCAATACAATGGCTGAGTCACTGAAGCTACCTGAAGCTAAAATGTAAAATTAACTTTTGAAAAGAAATTATTTCAGAATCCAGGATTCTACCATCAACAGCAGTTATAACATTTATGAACCAGAAAAAAAAAAAAAAAGTTACAGAAATGTGGATCTGAGGAATTTGTCGTAAGGAAACACTGACATCCCAGATTTCCCTAGTGTCTGAGCACAATTCCTACAATTCCAGACAATAAGGAGGAACAGTTCAATGAACTGACAGACAAAATACAAACATGTTATGGCAAAGGAACAAGCTGATTTCCCTGTGTCATGAGGTATTGGACTCAGTATAGCCTCATAAATCTAGAAAAAGTCAAGAGAAATGCATGTACCTTTAATTTATTTATAGACAAATAATCTCTGGCTTTCCAGTTTCTTTAAAAAAGTTATACATAACTCTTCAAAGAAAACCAGCTCCTCAGGAGCCTTTTTTGATGAGAAATCTGAAACAACCACACTTTT